ATTCAGTATAATAATTCTTTCATCAATTCAATAATTCAATTATCAATATTTCAATCATCTTTCTTTATTGTATCTTTTATAAGACATAAAATATATTCTTAAGGATTCATTGGTGTTGCTGAACTCATGACTTTCTCTATGTATACATTTTGTAAATGTGTCTTTAACTAGTCGAAAATTGAAATGTCTATTATTTTGATTTTCGACTGATTATTCAGCCATTGTGTACTAATGAAACTGTACAATAAAATGGATTTATGGGAAGAAGTTTATGAGCCTCATTCTTCAAGCTGGATATGAATGAATTTATTCGTAAATCATTCACAGGAGCATTTGCACAAGAAATGTAGTATGTATGAAAAGCCTGTTGGATAAGCATATTCAACATTTGATCCTGAGTTTGTTTAAATTTTAAGTATTAGGAGACTCACTAATGTGAACTTCGACTGATCAGCTTTAAATTGTATAATTGGGTAATGGATTTTATGCATCGATTACGCTATCAAATCTAAATCACTTATTTCAAATACACACACCAATTTAATGCAAATTTTGCAAAAACTCACTCGTTTAACATAAATGATTTATAAGTAAACAATCAATCCTGCAATCCAAGACTAGCCATTCAATTATGACAAATATAATGGCACCCTATAAAAGGAGGAAATGTTAGTGTGTGTCTATGGTACCCGATGTGCTGCATTACTAGTAGAATCAGCACATGCTTCCCATAGGAGTTTAATCTGTTTAGTCCAATTATTTCTGTCTTCAACTCTCTGTCAGCTATGCCTTTTATGGAGTTTTGTGGGTGTGGCTAAATGTAAATCAGTTGTATCTTGAATATGCTTAGTAATTTACAGATGATTGGTATTTATCAACCTACACGCATTAGTACAAAGTAAATCAGACAAACTTTTGTAAATCTGACAGAAATGTTTAATTCAGTTTGGCCTAAGAAAACGTGTATGCACAACTTTACTAAAAGATTTATAAATCAGGTCCTCTGTGTGTATTTTAAATGTAGTATAAAAGGCTTAATGGACTTAAAATAATGAATGTAAATGGACTTTAAAATAATAAAAAAAAGTGTTAAAAGCAATAACTTTAATGTCTCAGACACAAATGATGCCATAATTAGTAACTAATATTTTCTTATTACTTCTTATTTATATATTTGACAATGTTTTACAAACATAATCAGCCAATCATATGGCAGCAACACAATGCAAAAAATCATGCAGATACAGTAATGAGCTTCAGTTAATGTTCACATCAGACATCAGAATGGGGAAAAAGTGTGATCTCTGTGACGCTGATCGTGGCATGGATTTTGGTTACCAGAAGGGCTGGTTTGAGTATTTTTCATAAACATAATCTGCTGTTGTATCTCCTCCACCTCAAGGCTGATGCTTTGTGTATGCTGAGATGCTTTTCTACTCACCACGGTTGTATAGAGTGATTATATGAGTTACTATATCCTTCCTGGCAGCTCGAGCCAGTCTGGCCATTTTCCTCTGACCTCACTTATCTACAAGGCGTTTCCACCCACAGAACTGTCGCTCACAGGATGTTTTTTGTTTTTCACAGCATTCACACAACTCTAGAGACTGTTGCATGTGAAATTCCCAAGAGATTAGCCGATTATGAAATACTCAAACCGGCCCATCTTGTACCAACATCCATGCCACAATCAAAGTCACAGAGATCACACTCTTTTGTCATCCTGATGTTTGATGTGAACATTAACTGACACACTTGACCTTGCATATTTTTTTGCATTGTACTGTTGCCACATGATTGGCTGATTAGATAACTGCATGAATGTGCAGGCGTACAGGTGTTCCTAATAAATTGGACGGTGAGCGTATATGCATTGTAAAAAAAAAATACCGATACTGTTTGTCCCTAATGAAATGCCGTAGTCCTGTCACAGGAAGTAGTTTGCCATGCAGCTGGTGTGCGCGTTCTGTTTTCGCTATCCGTATTCCAACACATCCCGCCTCCTGTTTTGTGATTGGCTGGTTCCTCACAGCACAAAGACAGTTCCTTCGAACTGCGTGTGAGTTTAAATTACTGACCAATCACAACTCAGAACTCCGGATAGTACAAGCCAATCCCTACGCAGGGGGCGGGATTTTCGGAATACGGGTGGGAATTATTAACCTCCGGTGGGCAGAAGGGACACGGGTTTCTCATGACCCCAGTTATTTTATTGTCGTTTCTCTAAATATTTTTTTTCTCAAGTGCACGATGGCTGGAAGCCGACTTGAGAAGGTCGGAACTGTTTTTACCCGGTACGTATTTGGGTCAAAAACTGTTTTATTTTTTATTTGAGGTAGCTTCTTTGCTTTATTTTTGGCATATTGACCATAAAACTGGCTAAAATGACAAAATGACGCTGCTGTGTTAAATTAAAATGTTTACAGCTGTGACAGAGCAAACCTAAAGGTTCAGAAAGCAACCCAAATTCATGCTTGTACAAGGAGGTGGTACGGTTTGATGCTTATGCTGTGATAACCGAGTCACGGTTTCTCAGTATCACGGTATTAGCATAAAAAACTAGCAACACCATAATTAAAAACGATGTCTATTTGTCACAATGTAAAGACCATAACAATTTATGATGTCAGTTTCATTATTGTTACTGTGTGTGTGTGCAGTTTTGCATGTTCTCCCTGTGCTTGTTAACTCCCACCTCCCGAAAACAAGCCAGTAGGTGGATGGGCAATTGTAAATCCATATGGATAGCAAAATACAAATTTTTACAAATAAAAAGTTGTATACTATACTTTCATAATTATTCACTATCATGGGGATGCTTTCATCACTTTGAAAACATCATCCTCACAGTGAAGCATGGTGGTGGTAGCATCAGATTGTGGAGATGCTTTTCATCAGCAGGAACTGGGAAACCAGTCAGAGTTAATGGCTGAGCCAAATATAGGGCAGTCTTAGTAGAAAATGTGTTGTAGTCTGCAAGTGACGTCAGCTTCAAACAGGACAATGCCAAAGGTACACTGAGTTAAAAAACAAGAACCAGAAAGTGTTATAATGACCCGGTCAAATCCCAGACCTTAATATGATTAAGGAATCAGTGGCAATTTAGTCCATTTCAGTTCCTCACTGTAAAACTACAAAAGTTCATCCAAGGCACTGTAAATTCACAGAGTGTAAGATGGAAATTTCTGCTTTATCCTCATCACTTTCTTCTTTTCTGCCACTTGTCAAGGGTTCGAGATCTTATGCGCTCTGGAGTCATCAAAGAATCTAAGAAACCAGTTTGGTTTGACATCTATGCCGCGTTTCCTCCAAAGAGAGAACCCGTCTATGTGAAACCAATGAGAGCGGTGCGGCGGAAAACTGAGGAGAATGTGCCTGAAATCTTTTACAAGGAGGATCAAATACGAGCGTAATGTCCTACAGATTTTTGTCCGCTTGGCTTTTGTGTATTCACTGTGTCATAAACTATAATAATAACAGCAGAAATAAATAATAAATGAAGTTGTGCTCTTTTCTTCACTATAGGAAATTTTATGAGTTGTATGGAAATGGACCTAAAGCGTTTGATCTCACAAAACCGAGCTTTGTATCGACCTGCCAGAGGTATGATTATCTTTTTTTTTATTTTATTTTTTTTAAGTAATTTAAAGGATTTTGACACAGGTTTCCAAGTGTTTTAGGGATTTGAGCTTTTATGTTATATGGCATCATTTATCATGCTGAAACAAACCAATCAAACACCAGCAGGAAAAGCAGGACTCTAGTTTTGTGAAATGCATAGATTTGGAGTTAAACAAGGTCTAAATAAAATACATAAGCCTCGAAATATGTTTAAAGATTTAAGCTCACGGATGTTATTCATCATGAAGATTTTTGAGACATGCAAAAAAAGGATAAGAAACTGGCCGATATTAATCCAAATCTCGTACATCCTGGTCTATTGCTTGGCCTTTTTTATTTTTTCAGATGATGAGGGGAAAAAGGCAGGAAAGTTTGCAATATACATGAAAGTCTTGATGAAAATGTGTCAAACACAACCTTTCTGGGTTTTTCTAATCAACAAAGCCAAACGTATGAATTGACAGAGTGCTGCATTAAGTAATGTCACTTCAGCTATTTAATGGAAATGAGCAAATACCAGAAAAGTTCTCAAATGTTTTTTTTTTTTTTTAAATATCTTTATATTTAGGCATTGTCCGGATAAAGAAGATGGAAAAGCAAGAAAATAGGATATTTATTGTATGTTGGTGTCTGTTCAGACCAGAAATTTGTAAATATTTTACATGCTGTGCTATTTTTTCTTACCAGAATATAACTACTGTGTGCTCTTTGTGTGTTTGCTCAGGTTTGTGGAGAAGTACAGCGAATTGGAGAGCAGGGGAGATGTGAAGACAGAGATGCTGCTTGAGGAAACGGCAAAGGCTCTTCTTGCCGATGGTGTTGTGCTCAGGAGGAGAGGTGGTGGACCTGCTGTGAGTCACTGTTATGAATAAGAATTACACACATTATACACTGCAGATGTATTCGGTGTGTTCTACAGCGTAATTTTTTTATAAGTTTATAAGTAATTGGTATGTAACACTGTGTTTGATTCTGTACTACAGTGTAACAGTATGAAGCAAAGAATAAAACACTCTGTGTCATGCTGGTGTAGGAAAATAATCAGTGATGGGGTAGTGATATGAAGCTGAGTTACTGTTATCCCCAGATTAATTATTTTCCTATAACAGGAAGACACTGAGTGCTTGATTCCTTACTTAATACTGTTCCACTGTAGTACAGAACCAAACATAGTGTTAGAGTGGATATAAAAAGTCTACATACTCCTGTTAAAATGGCATGTTTTTGTGAATAAAAAGAATGAAATGAACATAAATAATGTCAGATCTTTTCCCACCCTTAATGTGAAATTGTAAAATATACAAATAAAGTGAAAAACAATCAGAAACTTTTTTAGGGAAAAAAGGAAAATAAAAAACTTACAATAACCTAGTTGCATTGCCCGACTAGCTCAGTTGGTAGAGCATGGGATTCTTGATCTCAGGATCGTAGGTTTGAGCCTCATGTGGGGCACCAACCCCGGCCACTGGGGGTGCTAATGCACTCTCACCACCAGTCCCAAGCCCGGATAAATGGGGAGGGTTGCGTCAGGAATGACATCCGGTGTAAAACCTGTGCCAAATCAATGCGGACAGTGGAAGGTGATCCGCTGTGGCAACCCCTAACGGGAGCAGCCAAAAGAACAACAATAACCTAGTTTCATAAGTGTGCACACCCCTAAACTAATATGTTGTTGAAGCACCTTTTGATTTTATTACACCACTCAGTCTTTTTGGGTAAGAGTCTATCAGCATGGCACATCTTGACTTGGCAATATTTTCCCACTCTTTCTTGCAAAAACATTCTAGATCCATCAAACTCTAAGGGCATCTCCTGTGCACAGCTCACTTCAGGTTATTTCAGGTCAAGCCATTCCTTTGTTGGTTTGGATGTATGCTTTGGGTCATGGTCCTGCTGAAAGGTGAAATTCCTTTTCACCTTCAGCTTACTAGCAGACACCTGAAGGTTTTGTGCTAAAATTGACTGATTTATAGCTATTCATGATTCCCACCACCTTGATAAAAGCCACAGTTCTGTCTGAAGAAAAGCAGCCATAAAGCATGATGCTGCCACCACCATGCTTCACAGTGGGTATGATGTTCTTTTGGTGATGTGTGTGTGTGTTTTTTTTTGTTTGTTTGTTTGTTTGTTTTTTGTTTTGTTTTTTTTGCACCAAACATATATTTTGGAATTATTATACCTTTTGGAATTGGTCTCCACAGACCAGAACACATTTTGCCACATGGTTTGGGGTGATTTATTTGAGCTTGGATGTTTTTTGTGAGAAAGGACTTCTGTCTAGCCACCCTACACCATAGCCCAGACATGTGAAGAAGATGAGAGATTGTTGTCACATGCAGACAGTAATCAGTACTTGTCAGATATTCCTGCAGCTCCTTTAATGTTGCCGTAGGTCTTTTGGCAGCCTCCCTGGTAAGTTTTTGTCTTGATCTTTTATAAATTTTGGAGGGATGTCCTATTCTTGGTGATGCAACAGTCGGATGAAACCAACAAGATGTGAAGAAAATCCAGCAGAAACAGCTGGTCTTTATTTGGCGTTAATCAGAATAATTTCATTGATGACAGCTGTATAATAATTACTTTTGAACAGAAGATTGAATGTGATTGGTTCATTCTGAGCACAGCCACATCCCCAATTATAAAAGGGTGTGCACACTTATGCAACCAGGTTATTGTAACTTTATTTTTCCTATTTTTCCCTAAAATGTTTCTGATTGTTTTTCACTTATTTTTTGTATGTTGTATGTTCACACTGAGGGTGGAATAAGTTCTGACATGATTTATCTTGGTTTCTTTTTTTACACTACAAAAACCTGCCATTTTAACAGGGGTGTGTAGACTTTTTATATCCATTGTGCATGCCAATTACAGAGCAATTAAAGTAACTTATTAAAGAATTAGACAACATACTTTTTATCCATTTGAAGTTACATTTAGCATTGTGGAATGTCCGCAAAACAAGTTAGTTCCTGTTCTCACTTATGTTATAGCAGCTAAAAACAGTCGTTCCCTCACCATCCTCTCTTTTTTTTTCTCCCTCTGTTAACATTAATAATACAAAAAACTCCTCTTTCAGAGAACTTATTGACTGTTTCAAAGCCCTGACACTGGAGACTCCTATTGTAAATATTAAATAAATGTCTCCTCACAGAAAACTTAACCATATCAAAAATTATAAGTTTTTCTTTGGTAAATAACATGCTACCATTGTAGAAAATTATACCACAGCACGGTTGAATGTTAGAATCTGATTGGACAGAAGGTTGTGCATTATTTTTGTATAACAGCACGGCTTGGAAAATAGTTCCTGTTGTAACATGAATGAAAGGTTTTGTAGTCTTTTTTTTTTTCCAAAAAATAACCATCATTCAGAAACCAGGTGGGAAAAAATAAGCCAAGTCTTCTTTACAACAGTGCTTCTTTGACATTTGAGGGCATTTGTTTATGCACAGCTCTTTTAAGATCCCGCCACAGCATCTCAATGGGGTTGAGGTCTGGACTTGGCCATATACCAGTACCTTGATTTATTTTTTCTTCTGTAGCCAATCAGATGTTGATTTGCTGGTGTGCTTGGGATCATTGTCCTGTTGCATGACCCGATTCCAGCCGAGCTTAAGCTGCTAGAGAGGTGGCCTCACATTTATCTCAAGAATATTGTGGTATAAAGTGGAGTTCATTGTTGTCTCAAAGAATGCAAGTTTACCAGGTCCTGTGGTGGCAAAACAGGCCCAAATCATTGCCCCTCCACCACCATGCTTGACAGTTGGTATGAGGTGTTTGTGATCATACACTGTGTTTTGGTTTTTGCCAAACATGGTGCTGTGCATTATGACCAAATGTCTCCACCTTGGTCTCATCAGTCCAAAGGATATTGTTCCAGAAATGATGTGGTTTGCAATTTCTGATGCAATTTATTACTTACTTACTTCATTAATAATACCTTCTGACCGGTCAGAAATGACAATTCATAAGCACAGTGGTATAAAATTAAACAATGACTTAAGGTTGCAAAATCAGCTCTTTCCTTTTATATCAACACATTTATAGATGGACTATTTATAAAAGGACATACAGCATGCCAGTTACTTATGATCTGCTGAAAGACTTTAAACTCCAGGCTCTAAACTCAATACACTCTCAGGAAAATGGTCCCATTGCTTGTTAGTGTGGTTTCATTAATTTTTTTATGTATCTCTTAAATGTAATTACATTACATACTAGGTCCTAAAAGGCATTGTATTATCTTATTTAAAATTTAAATGTACACTGTATTAATTTTTCCAGGAGGAAGATGCAAAAATGCATGCTAAAGGTACAAATGTAGATGGTACCACTCAGGTGACATTCAAATCAAGTGGGCTCAGAGCTAGAAAGAGAAAAATCAAGACTAATTCTCTCTTTTGATCACCAGGTGGCAGCAGAGACACGCAATCCTCTTCTGGCCATGAAGTTAACCGACATGTTGGCTGAACAACAAAAAGACAGAGTTAATGCCACACACACTCCAGAGGAGCACACAGACACTGACTCTTCAAAAACCTTATAGCGTAAAAGACTCTGTTCAACTGTTCTTTATGAATATAAATCTATGTAATGAATATCAAATGCAGCTTGCAGAGCACCAGGGATGAGTCTGATGACCACTTTGCTGCTGATCTTCCTTCCTTAATTTTAGTTTCAACAGATGGAACTGAGAAATGGAAGTGATCTTTTCAATTTAACAAACATTCTGTATTCCATCACAGACATGTACCATATGGTCAAAAGTATGTGGACACCTGACCATCACACCCATGTGTGTTTCTTCCCCAAACTGGTGCTACAAAGTTGGAAGAACACAATTTTACAGAATGTCTTTGTATGCTGTAGCATTACAGTTTCCCTTCACTGGAACTGAGAGGCCTAAACCTGTTCCAGCATGACAATGCCCCTGTGCACAAAGCGAGGTCCGTGAAGACATGGTGTGCTAAGGCTGGAGTGGAAGAACTCGAGTGGCCTGCACAGAGCCCTGACCTCGACCCCATGGAACACCTTTAGAATGAATTAGAAACACAGACTGCATGAAAGCCTTTCCAGAAGTGTGGAGGTTATTATAACAGCAAAGGGAGACTAAATCTGGAATGAGATGTTCAGCAAGCACATATGAGTGTTATGGTCAGGTGTCAACAAAAATTTTGGCCACATAGTGTATGTTGTATTGTTCATGAATAATTAAATAAATTGTTTTCAACATTAATTGAAAGGTATTTGTCTTACGTCAGTTTAATTTTAATCTTAAATAAATTTTTTTTAAGGGTGGTAACAGTAAATTGTTGGGCTGCATCACCCTGATGCCGATTATTTTCTCAATAGCACATCCTAAAAAAGTGTTATTCCTCCATATGTCTCAACAATATTCAACATGGAATATTTGTTTAAGATGTCTAAGAAATAAATATAATTTGGAATATACACTCGCTGAGCACTTTATTACACCTGTACACTTACTCATTCATGCGATTATCTAATCAGCCAATTGTGTGGCAGCAGTGCAATGCATAAATTCATGCAATGCGTTTGAGCAGCTTTGGGTAATGTTCACTGTTCACTGGTTTCTGTATTTCTATAAGTGCTGATCTCTTGGGATTTTCACACACAACAGTCTCTAGAGTTCAGAGTGCTGCAATAAAGAAAAAACATCCAGTGAGCATCAGTTCTGCGGATCGAAATGCCTTGTTGATGAGCGAGGTCAATGGAGAATGGCCAGACTGGTTCAAGCTGACAGAATGGCTACAGTAACTCAGATAACCTTTCTGTACAATTGTGGTGAGCAGAAAAGCATCTCAGAATGCACAACACGTTGAACATTGACGCGGATGGGCGTCAACAGCAGAAGACCACATCGGGTTCCACTTCTGTCAGCCAAGAACAGAAAGCTGAGGTTGCCGTGGGCACAGGCTCACCAAAACTGGACAGTTCAAGACTGGGAAAACATAGCCTGGTCTGATGAATCTTAATTTTTGCTAAGGCACACAGATGGTAGGGTCAGAATTTGGCCCCAACAGCATGAATCCATGGACCTAACCTGCCTTGTGTCAGTAGTCCAGGCTAGTGGAGGTGTTGTAATGGTGCAGGGAATGTTTTATCGGCACAGTTTGTTACACAGCCTGTTAATATCAATCAATCATAGCTTGAATGCTATAGCCGATTTGAGTATTGTTGCTGACCATATGCATCCCTTCATGGCCACAATTTATCCATCTTCTAATGGATACTTACAGCATGATAATACACCAAGTGACAAAGCAAAAGTCATCTCAAACTGGTTTCATGAGCATGACAATGAGCTGTGTTCTTCAGTGGCCTTCCTAGTCACCGGATCTGAATCCAATAGAACACCTTTAGGATGTGGTAGAACAGGAGATTCGCAGCATGAAAGTGCACCTGAAAAATCTGCAGGAATTGTGTGATGC